GTCTGGTAATAGGTGGTAGTCTGGTTATAGGTGGTAGTCTGGTTATAGGTGGTAGTCTGGTAATAGGTGGTAGTCTGGTTATAGGTGGTAGTCTGGTTATAGGTGGTAGTCTGGTAATAGTTGGTAGTCTGGTTATAGGTCGTAGTCTGGTAATAGGTGGTAGTCTGGTAATAGGTGGTAGTCTGGTTATAGGTGGTAGTCTGGTAATAGGTGGTAGTCTGGTAATAGGTGGTAGTCTGGTTATAGGTGGTAGTCTGGTAATAGGTGGTAGTCTGGTAATAGGAGGTAGTCTGGTNCTCTCTCTCTCTCTTCTTTCTCTCTCTCTCTCTCTCTCTCTCTCTTTTCCTCTCTTTCTCTCTCTCTTTCCCTCTCTAGCTGCTCGTTTCATCTCTCCTTCTCTTTCCCCCTCTTCGCCTCCTCTCTCTACCCCTCTCTCTCTCCCATCTCTATCCTAGCCTTTCTCTCTCCTTCTCTGTCTCCCTCTCTATCTCTCCTCTCTCTCCCTCTCTCTGCTCTATCTCTGTCTAGCAGTACGGTGCGCCATAACGAGCATAGAATCATCTACTGCTATATGCCGGCCTGAGACTCGTTACGGATCCGCCGGGACGTAACCGAAAACGCCTCTCCCTCGCGACACAGCGTATATCGCGTGTACGCGCGCCGCTCGTAACGCGCAACGCACCCTGGCACATCGCCCTACAAAGCACACACCGTGCTTTCTTCGCTCGGGTGATCACTAGCACTACACTCGACATAGCCACTGGCAGCACAACACAGGATCTGGTATGGTAAGTTGAAAGCCTCAAAGGCTCTCCATGTCTATCAGGGTTATATATAATAGGTGTAGTCTGGTAATAGGTGTAAGTCTGGTAATAGACGGTAAGTCTGGTAATTAGGTGGGTACGTCTGGTAATCAGGTGGTAGTCTGGTAATCAGGTGGTAAGTCTGGTTCTAGTGGTAGTCTGGTTATAGTGTAGTCTGGGTAATAGGTGGTATGCTCTGGTTTGTTTAAAGTGTAGTTCTGGTATAGTGGTAGTCCTGGTAATTAGTGATAGTCTGGTAATAGGTGGTAGTCCTGGTAATAGTGGTAGTCTGTATAGTTGGTAGTTCTGGTTATAGTGTAGTCTGAGTTATAGTGGTAGTCTGGTAATAGGTGGTAGTCTGTAAATAGTGGTAGTCTGGTAATAGGTGGTAGTCTGTAATAGTGGTAGCTGGTTATAGGTGTAAGTCTGGTTACTAGGTGGTAAGTCTGGTAATAGTTGGTAGTCTGGTTATAGTTGTAGTCTGGTAATGAAGGTAGTAGTCTGGTTTAGGTGGTAGTCTGGTTATAGTGGTAGTCTGGTAATAGTTTGGTAGTCTGTTTATAGTCGTAGTCTGTAAATGTGGTAGTTCCTGGTATAGGTGTGTAGTCTGGTATAGTGGTAGTCTGGTAATAAGGTGTAGTCTGGTAAAAAAAAAAAAAAAAAAAATAGGTGGTAAGTCTGGTTATAGGTGGTAGTCTGGTAATAGTGGTAAGTCCTGGTAATAGGAGGTAGTCTGGTATATGTGGTAGCTCTGGTAAAGGGTGGTAGTCTGGTTATAGTGGTAAAGTCTGGTAATAGGTGGTAGTCTGGTAATAGGAAGGTAGTCCTGGTAATATGTGGCTAGTCTGAGTAATAGGGTGGTAGTCTGGATAGGAGTAGTCTGGTAATAGGTCGGTAGTCTGGTAAATGAGTGGTAGTCTGTAATAGTGGTAGTCCTGGTAATACGGTGGTAGTCCTGGGTAATAGGAGGTAGTCTGGTAATTAGTGGTAGTCTGGTAATAGTGAATAGTCTGGTAATAGGTGTAGGTGCTAGGTTAATAGGTGGTAGTCCTGGTTATAGTGGTAGTCTGGTATAGGAGTAGTCTGGTAATAGGTGGTAGTCTGGTAAATAGGCTGGTAAGTTCTGGTAAGGAGGTGAGCTGGTAATAGGTGGTAGTCTGGTTATACGGGTGGTTAGTCTGGTAATAGGAGGTAGTACTGGTAATAGGTGGTAGTCTGGTAATAGGTGGTAGGTCCTGGTTATAGGTGTAGTCTGGTTATAGCTGGTAGTCTGGTATAGTGGTAGCTGGTTATAGGTGGTAGTCTGGTAATAGAGGTAGTCTGGTAATAGGTGGTAGTCTGGTATAGTGGTAGTCTGGTTATAGTGTAGTCCTGGTTATAGGTGGTAGTCTGGTTATAGGTGGCATTTCAAGGGATGTTCCATAGTCTGCACGCCCTACTTATTATTGATTATATTATTATTATATATATTATATTCTTGCTTACCTCCTCCTTCTTTGTCGGAGCTTTGCTGTCGTCGACCGGTTCCGCTCCTCCGTCTGTTAATGGAAAACCAAAAAATGGATATGGATTAGTGGGGCTGTTTAATATCAACAATGGCAGGCGAGCGTATGTTGAATCGATGGCAGCTGACTGGCGACGAAGAAGACTGTCGAATTTTGGTCGTCTGCTTTTTGTTCTCATTGACGGGAGCCGCTGACAGACGGCAATCAAGAATTAAGACAAAAATTGCGGGCACGCAAAAAAGTGCGAGTTGGAGGAAAAACATGGCGCATTAATTGAGTGAGTGAGAGAAGTAGGTGCCACCGATAGAGAAACGTGGGAGAAAGAGAGAGCAAGGAAGAGAGATATAATGAGAGTGTGTGACAGAGAAATAGCGAAAGAGAGACAGACAGAGAAAGAAAGAAAGAAAGAAAGAAAGAAGAGAGAGAGAGGGGGAAGAGAGAGAGAGAGAGAGAGAGAGAGAGAGAGAGAGAGAAAGAAAGAAGGGAGATAGAGAGAGAGGGCGAATTACAGTATAACACTAGCCATCTTTCAGACGTAACTCTAACCCCAAGGCGAGGAACATTGAACATGTGTAACGCCCCATGTGCGTCTGTATGTGTGTGGGGTGTGTGGGGTATGTGTGTGTGTGGGGGGGGCTTACTGTCCCACTCCCACGTGACCCGTTTACCGTCGCCACATGCCAGCGTGTGGTGGCCGCTATTTTAATACGTCACCGCGAGGATTCGATTTGACAGCTGCGTTGGGCGAGCCAAGCGCGCATGCGCGAGAAAAATGGGCGCGACCCACGCGACGCCATGTGTGCGAGCGCGCGTATGTATATTAAATGTCAGCGAAAAATGTGAGAAAATGGCCGGCGAGCGCGACGCTACACATGGCACGAATTGTCGCCGAGCGAACACTTGTGCAAATATCAGCAAAATGCAGCAGAAGCAGCAGATGCAGCAGTAGCAGTAGCAGTAGCAGTAGCAGTAAGCGTAAGTAGTAGCCATCATTCATCACGATCATCATCATCATCCATGCATCATCTGGGCAAATCTCATCATCATCACCATCATCATCATCACCATCATTATCATGATCAGTACCAGTAGTAGCAGCAGCAATAGCAGCAGCAGTAGCATCATCAGTAGCAACAGTAACAGCCAGCCAGCAGCTGAGCACAGCCAGCATATATCATCATCATCATCTATCCATCAGCATTTATTATCATCATTCATCATCATCATCATCATCATCATCATCACCATCATCATCACCATCAGTAGCAATAGCAGCAATAGCAGCAGTATATCAGCAGATATTGCACGACCGTTGGCGCGCGCTCCGGGTGCCATGGCCTTTGCCCACCGCGCCAACGAGCCATGCAGTTTGCTGTACAGTACCATGTTAGCGTGAAATGATGCGTGCAAACAAACAAACCCGTTGTTTACTAAATAAATAGCAACTCGACGCCCGATACGCGCCCATAATGAACCCCCCGTGTAAGTGCAGATACAAATCCCACCATCCCCGACCTTCTAGCGTGAGTAACATGGGAAACCGCTCGCGTTTTCAGAGGTTTTAGCCCCGTTTTATCGCGACGGCCCTGTTTTCGATGGTTTAGCGGAGTAGCTAAGGAAGACGGCAGACGGGCTGACCGATGAGAACAAAGACGCAGGCTGCTGCTTAGTTACACGCTACGCTTGAAATTTGCAGACGGGGGTAGCGGATCGGATGCGCTGCGCCGCGGGAGATGGCGGAGGAGGGGGAGGAGGGCCAGGGGAGGAGAGAGGAGGGGGGAGGAGGGTGGGGCGACCGGTGCTTGGCCTTCGATGTGTTGATCATTGGCAATTAGCTGCAGAGAGGGGATCAACGTGTCGGTTACATGCGCGACGGCGGCGTGAATGTTTGCTGGCTCTGCTATTGGTGAACCGTAGTCATGAGGAAAAGCATCATCATCAGGCATCCGTATGTATTGTTGTTGTTGTTGTTGTGTTGTTAGTTGTTAGTGTGGTGGTGGTGGTGCGTGGTGGTGGTGGTGGGTGGTGGTGGAGTGTGGTGTGGTGGTGGTGGAGTGGTGGTGGTGGTGGTGGTGCGGTGGTAGTGGTGGTGGTGGGGTAGTGGTGTGTGTTGGTAGTGGTGGTGGTCTGGTGTGGTTTTGGTGGTGTGCTGGAGTGGTGGTGGAGTGGTGGTGCTGGTGGTGTGTAGGTGGTGGGCGTGGTGTAGCATGTGGTGTTGGTGGTTGTTATGGTGTGTGTGGTGGTGTTGGTGGTGGTGGTGTGGTGAGTGGTGTGGTTGGTGGTGGTGCGTGGTGGTGTGGTGGTGGTGGTGGTGGTATTTGGTGTGGTGGTGGTGGTGGTGGTGGTCGTGGTGGTGGTGCGTTGGTGGTGGTGGTAGTGGTGGTGGTGGTGGGTGGTGGTTGGTGCGGTGATGGTGTGGTGGTGGTGGTGTGGTGGTGGGTGTGGTGGTGGTGGTGTAGATACTGCTGGCTGCGTGTTGGTGATTGGTTGGTGTTGGTGGTGTTTGGTGGTGTTGGGGTGGATGGTGGTGAGTGGTGGTGGTGGCTAGGTGGTCGTGGTCGGTGGTGGTTTGGTCGTGGGGTAGTCGTTGGTGTGGCTGGTGGCGGCTGCGTGGGCGGTCGTGATGGTGGTGGTGGTGTGCGGATGGTGTGATGTGTGTGGTGCGTGGTGGTGATGGGGTGGTGCGTGGTAGGTGGGTGGTGGTGAGGGTGGTGAGTGCGTGCGTATGGTGGGTGTTGGCTGTGTCGGTGGTGTGGTGGTGGTGGTGTTGGTGGTGGTGGTGGTGTGGTGGTTGGTCGGTGGTGGTGGTGGTGGTGGTGGTGGGTGTGGTCCTCGTTGGTGTTAATGGTGGTGGTGGGTTGGTCGTGATGGTGGTGAGTGCGTGGTGATGGTCGGTTGTGGTGGTGCGTGGTGGTGGTGGTGGTGCGTTGTGGTGGTTGGTGGTCGGGTGGTGGTGGCTGGTGGTGGTGGTGTGGTGTGGTGGTCGGTGGTGGTGTTGGTGGTTGGTGTCCCTGGGTGGTGGTGGTCGGTGGTCGGTGGTTGGTGGTGGTGGTGGTCGTGGTGGTCGGGTGGTTGGTGGTGGTGTGTGGTGAGTGGTGGTGGTGGTGGTGGTTGGTGTGGGTTGGTGGTGGTGGGTGCGTGATGGTGGGGTGGTGGTGCTGGTGGTGGCGGTTGCTGTGCGTGGTTGGTGGTGGGGTGGTTGCGTGGTAGCGTGGTGCGGTTGGAGGTGGGGTGGTGCTATCGGTCTGAGTTGGTGGTAGGTGTGGTTCGCGTGGTGGTCGGTCGGTGCGTTGTTGCGTGGCGCCGGCGGCCGGCGTTGAGTGCATGGTGGTCGCTGCTGCATGCACTGATGCTGTGCTGCGTGGTGGGTCGGTGGTGGTGCAATTCGTCGCTTCGTCGTCGTCGATCTGGTCGTCAGTCGTTGTCGTCGTCGTCGCTCCTCGTGTCATTCGTCATCCGCTCGTCGTCGTCGGTCGGTCGTCGTCGCTCGTCCTGGGTGATAGCGGTAGCGGCAGCGGTTCTAGTGCCTTTGCTAGTTCGAGTGCAGAGACTGGTACTTCTGACTGGTTACACGCAATTGGCAAATAAATATTGTGTTTACAGCCTGGGAATATATAGACAATCTTGTTTCCTAGACTGAAGCTCCGAAGTAAAATATATTCCAACTCCCAAACGAAGCTCATTAGCCCTGAGAGAGAGGTCTACGTCCGCACATGAAAGCCGCAAAGTGAGATACAGCAGCAACAGCATTCTCCGATAAAGTGGACAGTTTATTCAAACTTTTATCGGATCTTTGAGCGATGCGCATTCTCCCTATCGCGTGTCGTGCGTAAGCAAGTGAACAGCGGTGAAATAAGTGAACGCCGCTGGCTGGTTTCAGATCGGAGCTGCCGCGAGCCTCTCATCTCTCTCCCTCTATTCTTCTCTCTCTCTCGTCTTCTTCTGGTGGGTGTGCTCTCTTTCTCTCTCTCTCCGTTTCTCTCTCCACCACTTCTCTCTCTCTCTCTCTGCTCACTCTTTCTCTTCTCGCCGTCTCTCTCTCTCTCTGTCTCTCTCGTCGCCCTCTCTCTCTCGTCTCTCTCTCTCTCTCTCTCTAGTGTCTCTCTCGCCCTCTCGCTCTCTCTCTCTCTCTCTCTCTCTTCTCTCTCTCGCTCGCCTCTCTCTGCGCGTGCTCTCGCTCTTCCGCTCTCTCTCCCTTCATCTCTTTCTCGAGCTCCATTTTACTATTTTACTCTCTCGCTCTCTCACTCCCCTCTCTTCTCTCTCTCTTCGTTCTCTCGTCTCACGCGGATCTCTCTTCCGTTTATTTCTTTTTTCTTTCCACTTTTTCTCTCTATTTTAGGCTCACTCCCTACTCTCACGCTCTCCATCTACCCCCTCCTCTCGCTATTTCACTCTCTCTCCTGCTCTCCTCTCTCTCTCTCTCTCAGTATATAGTAATATATATATATATATATATATATATAGTATATATACGTAATATATATATATATATATATATACCGACGACGGTAATCTCTGTTGGTCGTTGTTCCAGCCCATCAATATATGTAAACAAGTGTTTTAACGTTGATGAAGCCTCTCGCGTGCGTTATCTCTCATGCACGCTGAGATCGACGAAGACAGATACGCCAAGATGTTCAGACGAACGAATTTTATTTAATGAAGCTGCCTGCTTCATTGATGGAAATCAGCGAGTCAGCGAGTCTGTCGAGCGACGATTCGTCGCCTGCGCTTGAGTCATCGCATGACGTCACTGCAGCCGCCGCTCGCCGTCGCGGCGGCGACAAGGTCCGCGATTTTTTTAAGCTTTTCAGTGAAATTTATAGTCTGTGACTCAGCTTGTCGTCATGATCGATTTTGCGCGGATGGTAAGGGGGGAGTCTCCGCTGCGTGTGCGCATGCGCGCGCCGCGGGGAGGAGGGAGGGGAGAAGCGCTGACGGCACGATGCGTATAGGTGCAGCATCCGATATTTCTGTCGTCTGTCTGTCACGCAGACGCGTCGGCTGCCTACCCTGACGGCGTTACGCAATAGTGCCTGCCCGTGCACACACACAGGCGCCTGCATGCATGCATGCATGCACGCGGCGGCGGCGGCGGCGGCGGCGGCCACCCCACCCCTCCTCCTCCTTCCCTCCGCGTATATATGCATGCACACATGTGCATCCATCATGCACGCATGTAGTTAACATATAACTCGGTAACATCGATTAATTTCATTCAGCCGTAGGTTTGAAGCCACCGTGAATCGGTTTGCAGCTGCATTGAATAATTACATGACGTGTAGTATAGATACGAAAAGTTCGCGTCCTATAGTAGCGGCATCGAATGAACCATGAATTAACAAACGAATTCAACTCTAGTGAAATAGATAGATTCATATGCTATGGACTACGCAGCGATATCAACGTTAAATACCACGAGCATGCATGAACGCAGCGACACCACGAGGAATGTTCCTAAAAACGAAGAAGACACGATCATAAATAACACACACGCCCAAACACGAGCTTCACGAAGCATCTCTCTCTCTCTCTCTCTCTCTTGCTCTCCACTCTCTCTCTTCTCTTCTCTCTCTCTCTGCTCCTGTCTCGCTCTCTTCCTCTCTAGTGCTCTCATTCATCTGCTCTCGATCTCATAATAATCTCAGTCTCTCTCTCTCTCTCTATCTCTCGTAGTCTCTCTCTCACATCTTTCTATCTTTCTATCTCTCTCTCTTCCTCTCTATCTCTGTTTCTCTTTCTCTCATCTCTCATATCTAATCATTTCATGTCTGCATCATCTCTATCTCTCCGCTATCTATTCTATCTATCTATCGTATCTATCTATCTATCTATCTATAGCTATCCATCTATTATCTATCTATCTATCTATCTATCTATCTATCCTATCTATCTATCTATCTATCTAATCTCTTTTTCTGTCTGTGCTCTCTGCTTCGCGTCTATCTTGTCTTCTTCTCTCTCTCTCTTTCATCTCTTTCTTTTCCCTTTCCCTTCCTCGCTCTCCTCATCCTCACGCCTCGCTCTCTATCATCTCTTCTCATCATCATCTCTCTCTCTCTCTCTCTCGCTCTCTATCTCTCTCTAACTCTCTCTCTCAATCGCCAAGTACGTTACGCAACCGAATGCAAAGTCACCGAGTTCAAACATCGTCTCATCACCAGTACCACGCACTCTGCGATTGAACCTCATCGTGTCACCCGCACCACGTACACGCGCGAAAAAAAAAACCAGCTTACCGCGACAGAAGCTGACAATGCCTCCCATGTCGGATCCGTGTACAGGGCGTTGTCACTGAGCGCCGACTCCACTGAAACTTCCGAACGAGCGAGCGAGGGCACGGGATTCAGCGGGCAGCTGCTGCAGCTAGCTCCCCTGTCGGCTACGTGTACTCACTCACACGCGGCTAGCTTCGTCGAGCATCAACTGCGCTGCACACTCAGAAATCGATGGCGGTCTCTCCAGCAAACTCTCGAACCGTCTGCTCCTCGCCTCTCCTCTCCTCTCCGTCCGAGTCTAGGGTTCGAGCAGGTTCGATACCCGTCTGCAACCGTCTGGCTTTCTCTCACGCGCGCGCGCTCTCTCTCACCTTCCGTGGACAACCCGCGTGCGTGTCAGCGACGAACACGAATATACGACATGTACGAAGCACTCACACTACGCGTTGTTGTCGAGGCGGGAGCCTGTACGTAATAGAAGACGCGGCCGGGTAATGCTACACGGGTCGGGAGGGTTCCTCGGCGGGAAGCAACGCTCAGCTAAATATATCGCGCGCAGGCGGGAGCACGCGCGCGCGCGCGCTGTCTATGCCCAAGTTTGGCAGATGACGCGCCCGTCCGCCATTTTGTTTTATCATAATAATTACGCGGCGGCGTTCGGCGTTGGCGTCGGCGTCGGCAGGGGCGGCGGCGGTGGCTCGCTTCTCGCGACGGTTCGTTCGGACGTTTACGGCGCAATTCGGGCGCGATCGGAGAATAATCGCGTCGTAGCTGAAGCTTTGCGCGTTAACGAAATGCTCGTTTCTCTCTGTATCTCTCTTTCCCTCCCTCCCTCTTTCTCTGTTTATCTCTCTCTCTCTCTCTCTCTCTCTCTCTCTCT